AGCCAGGCACCTGTTTCAGCATTAGGTCGTGTCTGGTACTTTGTCAGCATGTGTCATCCAGGCAGTCAAACTGCAGTGTTTGGTGCTTATGTCTGATGTGATATTTTTGTACACAATTTTTTCATGCCAGCCCCTAGACATGTGGCTCAAGTTGGGCATTTCAGTATAATAATACAATTAACAGTATCTTAAAAATACAGCCAGAAATGATTTTTTTTTTTTTCTGAGCAAAGAATTGTGAGTAAGCAATAGCTAGTAAAAAAAAGTGATTTCACAAAACAGAATGTACTAGTAGAGTCAATAATTAAGATACTTTTGCTGTGTAATTCAAGATGTGGGGAGAGCAGGAGGGTTGCAGGCCTCTCAAGCATTATTCTTTTCTTGCTTCCCTGCTTATATATCCTTCTTTTTTCTTAATGATTCATGCACAGGAACAGGCATCTCCCAGCAAAACTTCAGAAACCTTTATAGGTCAGGGTGTGGAGATTGTGAAAGGTTTTACTGGCTCTTCTACCTATTCTCTCTGCTTCAATAATAGCACCCAGACTGTGGTTTAGCAGTTATATATGCTAGATTTTCTTTTCTGCTCTTTCTAAAATGGCTTCATTAATTTTGTGTCTACATTATCAAGGCAGGCAGGCAGTAAGGGAAAATTTTGCATTCTACAGAAATGTCTCATTCATAAATAAGGAAGAAACCTGCCAACGTGTGGCCACATCACCAGAAAGAATGTGTGATGAATCGCACACGCCAGGACTGCATTACCTCACTGCAAACTTCTTCCAGAGGATCAACAATGCACTTACCAAAGCTGCCTATTGTAATAAGCCTTAATAAGTTTTTTCATTTCTACAAGTGAAATGAGCTGTGACTCATACACGTTCTGGAGTGCATTCAAATCTGTTATAAATCACGTTGGAGGATTATTTAGCGCAGGACTTCCTTAAATGGCAGGTGAAACTGCAAGGAGTGATATGTGAATGCTGGTGGTTTCAGCCTCCTTTTATAGACTGTGAGTTCCTATCCTTGTTAGTTTGCAAAACCATTGTTACATCATTCGCTTAGACTTAGAAATTACATTCTCTCCTATGGGTATTATTCTGCTATCCTATTCCATTTATGGGAAACAGAAAATACTCATTTTGAGTGTGTTAATTTTTATGATACTTCAATTTTTTAAATTGCAGTTTCTCTGGGCCTCAGTCAGCCACTGCCTTGATGCTGACAAAGCACTTCTGTGTGTATTTAATACTGAAGTAGAATGAATTCCAGCTAGCAGAGTTTGAGCAGTTTTAATACAAGGAATTAATAAAATAATTTTTCAAGCAATGCAGTGTCACATTCCTCAAGATTTCCTTCCCTTCCAGAAACTGAGCAAGACTAACAGAAAGAAGCACATCCACCATGTCTTTTTCTCAAAATTCCCAAATACTGCAAAATCACCAGAAACACCCAGGCCTTGTGTTCTGTACAAGACCCATTTTAGTAGGGCTACTGGCACATGTAAACTGAAGAGCATCATCCAAGTATGTGCAGGGTCTTGACTAGCAGCACACACTGGAAATGAATCAATCCAATTACCTCTTCAGAGCCATCAGACACACAGTGTAGCTGTCACCAGAGTGGCTCTTGGCAGGAGTTGGGTTATCTAATGGCTGGAGTAAGTGGAAGCTGTGAAGTGACGAGTTCTAATGTAGTTGCTACCAGTGACTTTTTTTGCAGCCTTGAGCAAGTTGTATAATCTCTTCTTCCCATTTCTCAAGGAATAAAATGGGAATGATAATACTACCCCTGTTCATTATCTCCCTAAATTAATTTCTCAGCATGTTATGAGAGTGTAATGTTACCAGTGCATGCAAGTGGTAAATATTGGTATTATTGGTTTAGGGTGCAGGCCTACCCTATACCCAGTTAAAAATGCATGGCTTATTTACCAGAACACAAGTTCAAAAATAATGGATAACCAATATATATGAGGCAACAAATGGCTGGTGATGCAGTGTCACAAGCTGTTCAACAAATAACAGATTTGCAATTATACATAGTATTCTAAACCCATGAAGAATTCTCCAGAAACAAGCTATTTCTGCTGTAGAATACTTGCTTTCATTTAGAGAACAGAATGTAGTGTAGCTAATATTCACATGTTTAAGGACCAGTTGGTTTACTTTTAAAAAGACACCAGCTGGAATGGCTGTGTTAGAGCCACTGAGTGTGAGTATGTTAGTAAACTGGGAGGTCAGTGTTGGGAGCTGCACTGGTCTGACCCTTAAAGAATGCAATGACACAGCTGGGGGAGGAGGTTCAAATCATCAGAGCCATGGAGTACAATGGGAATTCCTTACATCTGAGCCAGAACCATTCTGGGCCATGGCTGAGAGCACAGGGAGTGCATCCCTCACCTCTGCATGAGGGGACCCTGGGACATTGCTCAAGAATGTGAAACAAGGACAGGTGTGTTCTGTAAAGCACTTCAATTTTTTGTTCCTTCTTTCCTCATAGCAAAGCTCAACCAAAACCTAGCTGAAAGCATAGATCTGTTCCTTCAATGTAGAAATAAAGGGCTACTTAGAAGTTTTTACAAACTATTTGTATCACTGTGATGTGCTTACGTTCTGTAAATTTGGTAAATAAAACCAGATTTAAATAACACAGGAAATTGTTCAAGAAAATCTAGGTATGTTTTGTACAGATGCTACAAACACCAGGTCTGGCTTGCTGGATCTGGTGTGCCATAAGGAAGGACATTGTTCATTAGCCAAGAGTTACGAATCCTGTGTTACAAGTTTTACCCAGTTTAAAGAAACAATTAGGTAATCCATTGAATGCTTTTGGGATCTTTGTGCAACAAGGGTGGAGAGTTGGGGGGGCAAAGGGGAATCATGAACTAGTCCTAACATGCCAGTAAGAAAACCCTGTATCATGGAGATGGACCTTGTTTATTTTAAATCTGCATTTTCTTTGAAATTTTGACTTTTTTTTGTGAGCCTTGTTTCAAAGCAAAGCAGGTAACAGGAACTCTTTATGAATGTCCCTTATGAGTAGGTATGAAGGAGCACAATGACAATTTTGCTCATGCATGTGAGACTCCCCTGAACTCCCTGTTTTATATGCAGACATTGACTTGGGAATGCAAATCCTTGCAGACACTCATTATGCTCCATTTTGTCGTTCTTCATTCTGCTTTACAGTCTGCCTCATCTGAACACTCCTAATAATAGTTTTCTTTTTCTTGCTCAGTTTTCAGCATCCCATATTGCTGGAAATTTTCCTTTTGCTTTTGGGGCTTCCTGCTGAGTGGGGGATTGGGCTGATGTGAGAAGGGGGAAGAAGCTTGGAAGACCTTGGGCCTCTCCCTTTACGTTAGCATGCATTGCATGTACCAGTCTGTCCTGACTGCAGAACACATCAACAAAACCAGTGAACATGAATATGAAAGCAAATAACTGAAATGTTTTTTTTTAATTAAATAGGCCACTGAGAAAGAATGAGACTATCTGGAGAAGAACTTATAATCTTACATAATTGTGTACTTATGTAAGTGTGTAAAGACAGTTAAAGAAAATTTCTCTAAAGCTGAAGAATAAAGAAATATTTCTAGGGTGACTATTTTAGTAATACTAATAATGCTGGTTTACATGGTGACATTAAAAAGTTGTATACAAGGAAGTCTAATAGTTTTGCTTATGTAAATGTCACCTGTAACTTGTGTCACCTCTTTTCTTCTTTTTTGGGTCCTTCCAGTTTTATACCTCCTGAAACAATGAGGCTTTTGCAGTCTTGACCTATGTCAGGAGCATTGCCAGGGCTGGTGCATATGTAAGAAAGAGCAAAATCAGAAATTCCAACGACTAGAACAAGTAATGGAAAAGAATTTATTTGCTGCACTGAGGTGTATGATGAGAGACATAAGATCAAGAGAAAAGCTGAAAGATTATTCACTTTAAATTATAGTTAATTTGCAGAGCAATAAATGAATCACAGATGGAGATTCATGCCCCAGTGAGATGTGCATAATACATATATTACCAGCTCAGCCAGTAATTTTCATTAAATAGCTTTTCTTTGGTGCTTTTATGACTAAAAGCTCTTTAAACTAACAGTATCAGCTATAGCTAGCTCTGTGTGCCACTTTTCATTATTAGGCTGCAAATCATTTGAGGAGAGAGTTCACTGTAGTATCCCTGCTTTACAGACAGGGAGACCAACATAGAGCACTTGGTGGCATATAAGGGTTGTCAGTGCTGAGCCCATGGGAAAGCCAGGAGTTGGCAGAACATTTCACTTCATGCTTGCTGGTGGATCTCATTGATGGTGGAGGAGACCACCTGCCCATTCACACTGTCATGGACTATTGCTTTGATCTTTCGGCTGGTCAGTTCTGAAAGAAAAAGAAAGGGTAATTAGACAAGAAGCAATGCTGAGACAAGATGATGCAAGGAAAGCTTCATTTACAGTAATTTACCAGCTACTGATTTATCTTTACATGTTTCCATTTAAGTTAATACTTGTTGTTGCTCTTTGTGAAATGCACTGCCAGAAAGTCACCCAGGTCAGGGCAAATGAATAATACAGCAACATCCCAGCCAATGCAAATCTGACTTCAGAGCAGATGAACCTAAATGTCTGTAAGTCATGCTCATGCCAGAATAGGAGTTTCCAGACATGCAGATTTTCTGTTTTCTCTCCAGCCCTAACACTTTTTTAGTCACCAAATGGAGTCTCTATGACTCTTCATATACCATGAAAGCTTTAGTCTTGGGCCTGAGCTTTGCACGACGTGTTTGTCTAACCAGGGCCAGTCTGAAGACAGTCCACGAGTGGGCAGATGCAGCAGAATGTACTCTGAAGAGCAGCTCTTCACAAGATTGATGTATCACTGAAATTATTCTCAAATATGGCCACGAGAATTAACTGCCATACGAACCTCTCATAGTTCATTCATGTAAGGTTAAAACTCTCAGTAAAATTTTGTTGAAAATGGCAGTAATTAAGAGTCACTATAGAGGACAAAAAAAGGGACTTTTACCTTTGGCTGTTGATTCAGATTTTTGTGCTACCCTGTAGAGATAATAAAATAGAGAAAAAATAGTAATTGTACTAATTTCAGTAAGTTATCAATCCCATTCTTCTCACTGATTCTAAGGAGACCTCATACTACTATGAACAGAGATTAAAAAAACTAAAATAAAATGGTTCTATACCATGAGAACTCTTCCTCTTCAGTAGTCACAGGTACAGATAGTCCCACCTTCACCTGTCCCTATGTCTTTCCTGTGTTCTGGGTTACTCAACTTGATCCCCTTTTGGCTTCTGACAACTAGCCCTGTACTTGGTGCCACACTGTCCTGCCAAACTGTCCTCAGAAAGGCTCTTCCTTTTTCTGATTTTGTACAAATAATACATACTCTGTATATAAGATGAGAGGACTAGGAATAGAGAGGCCCAAAGGCTTCTGAATGCAGAGATTTCAGACAAGGCAGTGATGGGGAAACCAAACAACCCATCAGCAGAGAGGCACACTTTACACACTTCATGTGCTGCAGAGGCTGGCTAGAAAACATATACATTTGTCTTCAGGCTCCTTTTGATCTAGAACTTGTTTTGAAGATTGGAAGTTATTATTAATTTTACTGAAATTGGCATTTTTTCCCATGCTGAGGTAGGCATGCTGTGGGAATGCAGAATTTTTTTTTTTTAATAAAAAGTTATATTAATTTAGGTAATCCAAATTACATGGGTGCAAGTTTCTCTGTATACTAAGTGGCTCAAGCTTTTTATTACGATCCATCACATTAAAATGCCAGCCCTTGATGTAGTATGGAACTCACAAGCTTTGATTAAGCATAAACAAACAAATAAATAACCCAAATATGAGAACTCTCTTCTCATCTATTCCAGTCAGGGCAGCTTTGCCTTACCTGTCAACATTCCCCTCCAGCAGCAGGCGGTAAGTGGAAATTTCCTTCTCCAGGCGAGTTTTGATCCCAAGAAGAACCTTGTATTGGTTGTTTTGCTGCTTAATGTCATGACGAACCTGGCTTAGCTCTTCCTCACATTTGGAGATGATCTGCTGCATATTTTGAAGTGCAACAGCGTAGTAATTCCGAGCGTCAGCCAGGGTGTCTTCCAGCATGTGTTTCTGACAGAGCAGAGAATACCAATACTATGATTAGTGTTTATATACAGCTTTGGTCTCTAGCTAGAAGATTACAAGATTAAAACTGTGGAAATTTAAGCACTTAAGCATTTGCCTGACTATTCATGTGAAGACAGCAGAATCGTGAAGCTGTGTTGTGTGAACATAATGAGAGGCAAAAACTGAGTCATTTATCCATGCCATACTAATCCTGCTCCAAAGCTGTGCTCCTCTAACTGTTGGTTCTTCTGTCAGTTCTGCATTTGCTGGCCAGAACTGCTCCGAAGTCTCCAAGTCATGGATATGTGAGCTTTAACTACACGAGCTGAGTAATATTTTTGAAGATTCCCCAGCAACATTTTTCACAGTTCAAATATTTCATGCATTATAATAGGAGAGACAATAGTATTTTTACCTCTTGGTGATAGTTGCTGAATCTATTTTGCATATTCTGACATGGTCAAAATTCCAATTTCTCTGATATGATTAATAACTACAATGAAGTTATGCTCGGCTGTGGATTTAAATGAAGAATTGGTCCACTGCAATCTCTGAGAACATGTGAAGTAACAGTGACCAGCCAGAGATTCCTACAGTAGCTACCTTACTCATCTGTGCCTGCAGCTCGATGTCCAGGGACTGTAAAGTGCGTCTGAGATCCTTGATCTCGTTCTCGTTGCGCTGGATCTGTTCTGGGTTGGGGGCTGCTGCAAGAGATGTGGCTGTGCTCTGGAGAGCAAGAGGGAGAGAAAGGCTTAGGAATGCTGGCCACCCACATGCAGCAACAGGGATCTTTGCAGTGAGCAGAAAATAGCTGTTACCTGTTCTTTGTACCAACTGTCAAGGCTTTGACGATTCTTTTCAATTATGGCTTCATAATCCTCTCTTATTCCTGCTAGAATCTTGGCCAGGTCCTCGGGAGGTGCTGCGTTTACTTTTACATTAACTTTGAAGTCTTGTGATGAGCGATTTGCTTCCATATCCTGTTCATACACGACCAGAGGAAACAAGCAAACTTGTTTATGAAAGTGGAATGTTTTCATGCCTGTCTTGTCTACTTCAGTTCCATCCTCTCACAATACACAGAATATTTTTTTCATCATGGCAGGTTAATTGTTATATATTCAGTTAAAACTATTTGGAAATTTTATATATGGATAATACTATATTGTGATTTAAACCAGTGATTTACATCTGCTTCTGTGGCAGAACTGTGCTAGAGAACTCAATCAAAAACATGAAAAGATCTTTTTGTATAATGTTTCTGGAAGATAAACACTTAATGAAGAAGCAGGGACATTTTTCATTCCTTTATCTGTTAGGAACCTGAAACCTTTGTTGAAAATCTAACAGTCCTTTCATCTTTCTTACCATGTATGTTAATATTTATGGAACTATAACTAAGTTTACAGGAGAGTAATGTAAAAGTTCTATGCAATTGTTAAAGGAATAATTGGATTAAAGCATATAATTACTGTGTAAACAACATAATTACAGGGCAAGTCAAGCAGGTGGGGTAACATTCCTTTCGGTGTAGCACCATCTCTGTGCTAGGTACCATTTTCAGAAGTGGGCAAAGCAGCATTTCAGGGAATGACATCACGGCTTCCAAAATGCAGATCAACTGGACATACTGATGTCTCTGTTGGTTGTCCTTCTTCCAAGAACTATTTTATCAGAACTGTTCAGTAGTATCCTTGGCTATCAGAGGACCAGCCAAAAACAGCCTCACCTGCTGCTATGGAACCCTTATGTTTCTGTTCTCCTTGTTAATAATCCACAGATACTGAGTAGGATGTTTGGTTCTGCATTAGGTAATAACTGAAAACAACATCAGATCAAGCAAAATGAAAGCAGCCTGTTGTCACGCAGTGTGTATGTATGTGGGAATCACAGAGACCATGTGGTATAGCTCTGTAAGAATTCAGGGCAAGGTGGACTTTTGGCCATTATTATGTATTACCTAATTATTGTGCTTAGGGTTTTGCAAGAGGAAGTACTTTAATTGACTTCACCAACCATTCTTTTAAATTTTGATCCTTCAAGAGTTCAAGATCTGCTCAGTTTGGGTTAGCCTGCTCCAGGTGACCCTGCTTTAGCAGGAAGGGTGGACAAGGTGACCTCAAGAGATCCCTTCCAACACTGTGGAGTACTCTGTGCTTCTGTGATTCTGTTCTGTGATATATTCAGAATTGAGGGGAAAGTCTGTGATCAGTAAAATCCAACAGCAACCAGTGATGCTTGCTGTTTGCTTGAAATCTCTGTGTATTTATACCTAGGTATTTTTTAAAACATTTCTGTTGAATAGGTAAGTTATTGTTAGCTATGTATGGCAGATGGGCATGTGACTAAGAGTTTGGAAGAAAACACAGCAATTTGTTATGCTTTCTGAGATCCCAATTTAACTGATAAAGTAGTACACAAACTTTGAGCCTCATCTAACTCTCATTGGCTTCTTCCGAAACACCATTAGGTTCTGAATCATCAATCCCATTTATAGATTGTGGATCTTATGCAAAGTTAATTACATGGTAGTGAAGATTTGTGTGATGGGGTATTACCAAGTGGAACTTTTTCTACCTCCTCATGGTCTTTCCTCCTGAGGATGTGCTCTTCTCTCAAGCCTTCAATTTCCATTTCCAGATCTGTTGTGATAATGGTCAGGCCGTCGAGTTCCTTACGCAGGTTCTCAACATCAAGCTGCACTCCCTGCCTGCGAGACTTCTCTGCTTCATACCTTTACCAGAAAAGAGAAGATAAGGTGTGATGGTTGAGAACAGGCTGCTTCCAGCCTCTCGTGTCAGTTGCTTAAGTTGATTGTAGTGTGCCCATATCTTCCCATGGGCATAGGAAGCACTTCTACCCCTCAGAATCTGACCCTTCATTTTTGAGGGCTCTGTCAAAGTTTCTACAGTCAATCCATCAGACTCTTTCTGTGATTTCCATCTCTCAAAGTAGTTCCACTGTTCCCTTTTTATGACACTATGGAATGATAGAGAAGTAAAGGCAAGGCTGAGCAAGGCCTGCAGAGTTCAGAGTCTTTAAGTTTGTTGCAGTATTGCCAAAATCTGAGAGCTTTTTTAATAGCTGATCATCACTTGTTGAAAATAAGACAAACCTTCATGATTTCCCAAGAAGTCTGACTTACAGAAATGTAAACTCCCTTCCGTCACAAATATCTGCCTGGAAGTTTTTTGTCCAAATATTTTTGCTTTTTATTTGGTCTGAGAACCATCTTTCTAAAGTTTACTGAAAAATCAAACTGTGTACTGGTAGCCACGGAAGCACAGGCCCATTTATTGTGGCGAAACTTAGGAGACTCCAAAGCAGAAGATAAGGAAGGAGGGTTATTTCCTGCAGAGCTGGACAGGAGAGGTGGTAAGTACAGGAAATAGGTTTGGGCTAGACTGGGGAAGTGCAGTGCAGAGAAGGGTTAATTTGTATTCCCAGATGACAGTTTAAATGCCTTTTGTCACAAGTATCAAGCATCTGCTGTAAAACCTGCTCTTCAGGACCTGAACTAAGTATCATAAACAGGGTGACTCAAGACTGTTCAGCAATCATTTGTGGTTTTTACATCCTTTTTATCCTTTTAATATTTTTTGTTGTTGTTGTGGGTTTTTTTTTCTCCTATTTTACATTGGTTTCATTTATCCAGTATCAGCAGAAATCCTCAGTAAAATCAGTTTCATATTAGATTATCAAGAAAAAGCAATGTTTTGCTTTGCTTAATCCTCTTTCAAACTTAATCAGGAAACCAAAGAAGAGCTTACTTGAGCCTGAAGTCTTCTGATGCCATGTTAGCGTTATCAATTTGTAAAAGGATACTGGCATTGGTGATCTTGCCATCCTCAATCTGGAAAACAGAGAATCCAACAGGAGACTCAGTGTTGCCACATGGTGAATAACCTGTGCTGCTTGTAGGAAGCATCTAAATAGTAGAAGCCCCATGGTTAGGAGAGTACATGAATATAAGCAGCTTAGTTTCCTGATTCACTGAGTAATTTCTGAATTTTCATCCATAATCTTAACTTTTCTTTTTGTCTTACTTATGTTGATGTGAAGTAGGAGGAGTAATTCCTGGCCAGGTAGAGGATATGAATAATATTACACAAACTTCATGGTATATTGCAGAATAACAGAGACTGCCTTCCTCTTTGTGAACTGATTTTGACTCTTTAACATTGCTGGAAAAGTAGCCTTGGTCATCTTTAGGACTAATTTCAGTAGGAATCATTAAGCTGTGTCTGAGTACAATCAAAATGCTGCAATTAAACATATGCTAAAAAGTAATCATGTGTCAATAAACACCTTGCTGAATCAGTGTGCTGATGCAGAGGCATAATCATGATGGGAACAGCAACTCTTGAGCAGGAACCCTCAGGTCCACCATGTGTCTCTGTCTGGAGTCACATGGATTGTCATTTTGAGACTAACCCTGGCATCTAGTTACTGTGGCTGATAAAGTTGTTTGCCTGTAGCCTTACTGAATTGTCCAGTAGCCTGGAGTGAGTAATTAATGTTTCTGATTTTGCTTTGAGATTTTGAAAATTGCCCTAAAAGGTGCAGGAGAAAGTGGATCACATAATTCCTTTAGTGTACTCAGCATGCACTATAAAGTCCGATACGTCCCTGTTAATATGAAATAGCTCTGAACTGTAGAGCTAAATATGAAGAGCTCAGTATTCCATTCCAAATCTTTGAAAGAATTCTAGCAGGAACTCATACATAATTAACAGGAATGAATAATTGTGGGACAGCACGAGCTTTTCTAACAAAGGGAAGAGAAGCACGGATGCAGCTCCAGCAGCAGTGTTCACTCAACACTTACATAGCAAAGGTGCATTCTGGCTGTAAATAAATCATTAGCCATTTACAGACCTCTCAGCACCTTCAAGTAAAGCTTCCCACACCTAAATGAATCACAAAGAAACAAGGAAATGACAAAATTGACCTGAAGTGTCAAAGTTTACCTCTCATAATAAAAAAGAAGGTGCCTGTGGAATCTTATAACTAATCTGTTAAAGACTGTACCTTCTTGAGCAATTAGCAGCACACCTTGGATGCTGCCCTGGGACATGATCAAGGCCAGCTGGAGAAGTGTAACAATACCCTCAATGTGTCACTGCCTGGAAATGTGTTGTCAGAGAAGAGACAAATCTTGAATCCATCCTTAGAGAATGGTAGATTTTACTATGGAAGGTAGTAAGGCAATGAGAAAGGAAAACATGAGTTCTTCAACTTTGTACCATTTTATAATCATGCGAAAAAGCAGCACATTTCTATGAAAGCTTTGTGACTTTCTTTGCCATCTGAACAATTGTCAGGGTTTTGCCAGCTGCTGGATGATACTGCTTGCTGTGCCAGTCAGCAGTGTTTGTCAGCTGTGAACATTTGTCTGCTTGGGATTATACAGAGTTCTTCATTACATCCACCAGGAATATGTCTGTATCACTAATATCAATCCACAAACTTACAGGTAGCTGAGTTCAAAACTCATACATTTATAGATGTAGAATACACTCAAATTCCTGCTCAAAACAGATATATTCCAGAAGGCTTCCTGCACTCAATTCTTCCTCAGCATGCCTTGCCTCCTTTATCCAACAGCATTGATGCTGTCTCCTTGACTGCTCTGTGAATCAGCTTGCTTATTTAGTGGTGCAAGATGTTTCAGTGAGACATTTACCTGAAGAGCTGGTGCTGTTTTAGTTTGTATCTGAGTTAGAACGCAGTCAGGCTGGGGCAAGGCAAGGTGCTGCTCCCACTGGCATAATCCTCCAGAATTCAGGCATCCGGGGAAGAGTGTAGTCCCAAATATAGGGCCCAGATTGTTATATGCCTCCAAGTTTAGACAGACAGTACACAGACTTTCTGGGTAGCTGCATAAAGGATCCTAAATTTTGTCTAAATTTCATTTTAGATGCTAAACTAGTTTCACCTTTTTAATTTATGGTTAATTAATTTCATTATGGTTAATAATTATATGCTATATTTTCACTCATTTTACTGTCAGTCACGGTGCTAATTGTAATTATTTATAAAGTGAAAGTTCTAGGTTAAATGACTGAATTGTAAATAATCCTTTAGTAGCCCTTCCTCCCTTGTGAGCAGCACATCCAGCCCCTGCTGCCTGAGGCAGCCGTTGGTCTGGCAGGTGCCTGCAAGGGTTGCTGTGTTAAATGGCAAGTGTTAAAAATAGATGTTTTGGGCACAACCTGTTCAAAAGTGAGGGCTGCACCTAATCAGTTATACGGTTTTAGTCTTACTGTCTTCCTAAATCTTTCTGATTGATTAATTCCAAGCCAGTGTGAACACATTATATTGTTCATTAACAAGTTTTAATCTCTGGATCAGTTAAAAAAAAAAAAGCTCAAGTGATAACTGTGGAGGCAGATGGCCTTTCTTTATCCTTAAAACAGAAACAGGTGATGACAATTCTGGCTCTCCTTCCACATTGGCTGTGGTTGGAGTGCCTCATCTTCTGCCTGGAGGCAACACATTTAACAGTGAGCAGGGAGTTTGATTATCTCTGGCCTCAGTCAGCAAAGATGTGGGATAGCACCATTTCCAAGCCCTTTTGCAAAAATTTCTCAGGGGTTTCAGAATTCCAAGTAACCTTATAAAAACTAGAGGGAAAACTACATCACATTTAGAATAGCTCTGGGTTCTGCCCCATATGGTCATGTAAAGTTAATTACACTGATTAGTCACATGGATGGTTACAGTGCTAAGTATGCCTGAAGTTGAAGACACGTGAGTTTGGGAGATTGAAAGAGTTACTGTCGAACGTTAATATTAACTACTGGCAGGAACCAGAAATTCTCCCTTTAATTACAATGAAAACATCCACAAGGAATTTGTCACTGCTATTTTCTTAATTACCATGAAGTATTTTTCCATCTGATTACATAAACTCACTGGACCCAAAACTCCTGTAGTTTCATTGTCTGCTACCACAGGAATCAAAGAAAAGAAATGCACCAGTCTGTCTACAGACAGCATGCATGGAAGGAGGCAGTCTTCAGCTTGTGTGCTTTGTGATTTGCTGGCACACACGTGCAGTCAAAAAGACAGAATTCTGCCAGACATAGTTACTCAAACCACAGTTTCATATACAGAAACGAACGCTTGGCAGCAGACAGATCTCTCTATTCTACTAGTCTTTGCTGAATCCCCTTGTCTCCGTCCAGCCTTTCTCTCTTGTACCCCATTCTCCTCCTTGTGAACACAAGGAATGTTTATGCCCAGGTCCTGTAACCACTTTCATTAGTATCTCTAACATTTGAGAAGTTTTATTTAACTTTTTCTAAAGGAAAGCCATCAGCACAACTGAGTACCCAGGTTCCTTAACAGAAGAATGACAGTCACTTAGAGCTTTGACTTACCTGTCTTTGCATGTCAGTGACGTTTTGCTCGTACTGGTTGAAGTCATGCCTCTTTCCATGAGACTTTGTCTTGTGCCACTCTCGGATGCAGCTTTCCAGCTGAGCATTGGCTGCCTCCAAGGAACGGACCTTGTCCAGATAAGCAGCCAAACGGTCATTCAGATTTTGCATAGTCTGTTTCTCATTCCCACCCAGGAAGATGCTTTCCCCATGGTGCTCACCGAAGCCTCCCCAAGGTGCCCCTCCTCCAGCAGCCAGCCAGAGGGGTCTGGCAGAGGGGAGAGAGGTATGTGTGCTGCTGGCACCACCATCTGCACTTGAAGGTCTGCAAGAAGTTCCTTGCTGGGCCAAACCACACCCTGAACTACCCCTGAGGGACCCAGAAAAAATCTGAAAAGGGCCTTGGCTGATGCTCATGTTTAGCTCTGTTGTGAATCTAACCCAATGTTTGACTAGCACTGAGCAGCTTCTTAGCCTTCCCTAAGCAGCTTTATGCCTTCTCCTGTGGGAGTTTCCCTTCGATGAATGACTACAGCAACAAGATTGTGTCATCAAGAATCGTGCTTCCTCTTGGTCAATTCTGAAGCATTTATGAGTCTGCACACACTGTTGTTGTTTGGGCTCACAGCTGCATACCGGGTCGCTTTCCTTTTGGTTGGTTTTGGTTTTTTCTTTTCTTTATTTTTTTTCCCTTTCTTTTCATATTATAATAGTGAGGTGTGGCTAAAATCAGTAGGTGTGGAACAGGATAAGCTCTGCCTCAGACTTTTGTATAACCCTGTAGTTAATATGTTATGCTTTCCTCCTTATGAGGGGGAGAATATCGTCCACTGCAGAATAAATGAAGACTTGGGGAAGGGATGGGTTTCTGGAGACACTTTCTGTTGTAATTCTCAGGCTTTAGAATCACAGCAGTCTGTATGTCCTGAAACGTGGCATGTCCTATCAAGCTGTTATTAACGCACCAAACAGCTTCAGCCTGTGTGAGACATGAAGCTTTAATGAAATTATCCAGCCTCGGTCATTGAACTAAAACTCCAGTCCAAAGTGACTAAGGGCCAGCTATTCAGCTGCCCATTGACAGTTGAAATACATGAAAATTAGGTACTTAACAAGCTTTTCTTATGATTTTTTCATTATTTGAGGTGCAGTCATGTTTCAAGTCTTGTTGAAATAGAAATTAATGCAAGAATTTCTTGCTGTTACTAGTATTAATACTATTAAGATATTTCTATGTTTAGCTATAGAAAATATTTAGAAAATTAATTTGTAACAGCACTTGAAAAACTCGAGTGGTTATTTAAAGCTACTAGCCCTAACTGAGCTGGCTATCATGCAGAAATAGTCTCTCAAAAGTTTCAGTAACCTGTCAAACTTCTATCAAAACCAGGACGGGCAAGTCTGGCTTTGGGAAAGATTTTCTTATTCCTCACACTGATAAATAGGCCATAAATTGTGAAGTGTTCCCATGACAACATTGAGTTATTGGGTTTGCCTTGTCTTTCTGAGTAGTTCTAGACCCTGATTAGGAAGAAGATTTGGGAAGTGGTGGAGAGGCGGGTGGGCCTGGGCTGCCAGAAATGGGGCAGTTGCTTTTCCTTGCAGCAGTTGAGGGCTCAGCTTTCTAACAAGATGTTATTTGGCACTGCCACTCATTCTGAATGGTGGGGCTGGAGGGGATGCACAAAGCAGAATTACATTGTCCTGGAAGAAAACTGAAGGAATCATTTTTCTCTGCTTGTTCCATTTGAAATTTGTAAGCAACAAGGAATTGCTGCACCTCATCCTTTCCGGAGCTGCCTCCTCGGCACCATTTGCTGCAGAGGGCAGGTTTTGAGCTCCCCCTCGTGGCTCTTGCCAGCTCTGCTCAGCACCCGATGATTTTCTTCTTACCAGTTAGATTTCCATCGAGTACATACTCCTTCTTATTCTTTACACCCTTCATTATATAGAAATGGTAACATTTTTAATTATTTTGGAAAATTAATCATTCAAGATGCGGTTTTCCAATAAGTATGGCTATCACAATATATTGTGATAAGAGCTACTAGTAGATAGTTACAGTTTGGTATCAGCCCTGCTGCTTGAGCATGAGGAGAGCTTGAAGCACCAGACAAAAAACCGAAGGCCTAACTTGTAAAAAACAAATCCCAAATTGTAATAGAAGCAGCAAGATCCTGCTGCTCAGTTCATCTCACCAAAGATTAATTTGAGATTGAATTTTCTAGCCTGGCAGTTCAGCAAGCTAATATTCTATGAAATGTTACATTGAAATATAAATACACACAGATGTATGTTACATTATGTGGAACAAAATTAATCTCTGTTTTGTGTGAAATTCCTGGTGAGATTCCCAGCCTGGCTCGCTGTGAGGCTGCCAGTTTGTGAGGCAGCGCAAGGCACTTTTCATTGACACGTGGTGAGGGGCCATGGAAAAGACCAGAAGACTTGCTTCAAAACCACGCACGGCTCTCTCTTGTCAGGCTGGCACTTCGGGACTTGTTTTCAGTCAACTACAGAATTCAAGGCACAGAGTGAAAGCAAGGATCCGAGTGAGCAAATGAGCCCTGGGCAGCAGATGGCACCATCAGACAGTGGGTGCTCAGTCTGGCCTGAGAACTGGGGTTTTACTTGGGAATAGTTCGTTTTACCCAACTGGAAGGTGAAAAACAAACTGACCTGAATTTGTGGGCTGCAGTTTAAGTATAGGCAGAATACTTGGACACCTACAGCATACAGGTAAATATACTGTGATCATCATGTGTTGGTTAAACTCCTCTGACATACAGCTGGTAGCTGCCTGTGGCTGTGGAATTTTCTCTCTTTCTCTTTAAGTGATGTATACAATAGTCACCTGACTAGATGAGGAAAAAAAACACAGTCGTACTATTTGCTTTTTCTTTTCTGCTAGACTATGATGTTGCTTTGCTGAAGTTTGCGAGAACCTCTTCTCAGTTCGTTCCAGTGAGAACTCCAGCAGGATGTATATCTTAGCAGTGGGATATGAATGGTCCTGCAGCCTCCTTCCTGGCTGAGCTCTGGGGCTGGTCCTAGGAGGGCAGATTAATTATTTTTTTTTTTCAATATCAGAAAATAGAAGAGAGGAAAATAGTGCACTAAGGAGGGTGGGAGAATAATAAACTAGATAATTCTAGCAATCATATAATTTTTGTAGATACAATTACCTGGATTTCAGTACTCAGCAATGAGGCTAACAAAATGCAGCGTTTTAAAAATGTTTCATGTGCTTCTGAAGTTGAGATGTACTGACCTCTTAAGTCTTCAAAGAGTCTCCCCCCAGTTCCACTGCTGTAGATTTGCAGACTAACTGCTGACAAAAGGCAGTGTTGCTAATACAGCAGCTGCAGTGATGGCACAGGCTGGTGGGCTTCTGCCCAGGTATGGAGACAAACAGTCACAGTGAACTCTGCTTGAGTGGTTCATTTCACCTGGGCCTTGCCTAGTGCTCCCTCAAGAGCTAAGGGGCATGTGCCTTTTTGCTGAAGAAAGTGTAGGAACATAAATATATATGTATGTAGAATGGTATGATTTTTTTTCCATAGATGGCATTTTATTTGTTCATGAATTGTAGTCATGTTGTGCACTTTAAATTCAGAACAAAGAGCTTAAGGATTTTTTGCATTATCTTTTCAATTTTTTACTGACAATAGCTTCAGATTCATGGGAGAATCTGATGGCACTTTATATCTGTCCGTTCATCTCTTATTATTATTGTTATTATTAAAGTTGTGATTGTTGTTACCCATTGAGCACCTCTTGCTTTGGGTCCCAGGAAGCAGTGTTCAGGGAGGTGCATGGCAATTCCATACTGACTTAAAAAAACCCACATTATACTGGATAGATTTGCAAAAGCAGAACAGAAACTTTATTGTGTATGTTCTTTGGTACAGAAACTATTTAGCTACTGACAGAAAACAAGCTCATCATCTCTGACCCACAGAGCTAAATGATTGTGGAAAAAGGGAGAGCGAATCTAAGGAAAGACATCAAGCTGTTGCACATTCCTGGATTACATTCTTGTGGTCTGGCGAAGTAAAGGGTGTTTGTTAGCACAGGCTGTGCTGGGTTTGTGGGGTAACATCTGCAGCAGGGGTTTGGTTCCTTATCAGAATCTCCTGTCACGAGCAGGTTTTCCATCTTCTTCTATGACAACTCTCCTGCTCAGGGATCCTGCTTTAGAAGGAAAACCAAATCAATTAGGAAAAAAACACACGGAAGAGCTGTGCAATGGGGTTTTTTAGTTTGTTTCCTCCCAAGATCTTAAGAGTAGAGTGCACATTTGAATGTATCTTGTATGTTGTATGAATCAAAAGAGGAACTTAGCAATCTTTGGGAGATTTCTGAATTCTAGAATCCATGAGGAGTTCATGCAATCATTTTGGCAAGCTACTGGTTTCAGAAGTGCACATAATATAAGATAAAGTATTATATTTTTGTCTCTAATTGATAATGAATGTGATCATAGCAGAGGAATGCAATCTGTTAGTATGAGGAAATCTGAAGCAAAAGAAGTTTATTTACTCCTATTTTGTCAATTAATCTTTAAATAAATTTTTTTCTTACCATCCTTAGGGGTCAGTCCTGACAAGCTGTAGAAAAGAAGAAAAGTTTGATTAATGACCTTTGCTGACCCTGTCCCCAGGAACCATTGGTCCCCTTAGGAGCCACTGCCTGTGGATGCCCTGGTCTCCCACTGCTGGCAGTGGGCTGTTGCTCAGTGGGGTGTTCAACAGTGTTACTGTTCAAATGCTTTCTGCTTTGAAGGCCACTCCTAGGTACTGGGAAGGAAACATGAACAGCAGTCAGACCAGTTCCTGGTCCTGATATATCTCTATATACTTCTCCTCAAAATGTCATAATCTAGAAACAATATAAGGAGCTGATTCCTCCTCAGAAATCAAAAGTACTTTTGTCTGTACATCAGATACAAGAAGTAGGCACTAAAAGGTAGATTTTACTAAAGCAAGCCATGGTCTGTACCAAGTTCTTGGCTAGTTGGGAGTACTGGTATATGATGGTGAGTACTTTCACCTCTGTGCACTACTGTAGAAAACCAAGAGCTAAAGAAATACTGAGAGCAGGTTTTTGTAGGTGTTTTTAGATTGAAGGCTGTTATTCCAGTGCAACAAGAGGATCATGTAAGACATACAGATGGTACCTGGTGACTTCTAAAAATCATTGTATTCAAAGTGGTTGCATTAGGTTTTCAAATCTCCACCACAGTTGGTCTGGACATTTAGCTTGAATTCTAGCAATACCTGGGACTTTGCATCTGCAAACAAGCATCTGTTTTGTCAGTGCTCCAAGGGCTGCAGATGCAGTGAGTTGGATTTAGTAACTTGGAGTCAGCTTAGCAAGCACCAATTACTACTTTACAATGTGTCATGTCATTAGCCTTATCTAATCATCATAGGATTTTTATGTAGTAACGTACTGAGCGTCCGGGCCCTCCAGCAACTGGCGGTACGTGGCGATCTCCTGCTCCAGGCGACTCTTGATGTCCATGAGCATTTTGTACTCCTGGTTCTGACGCTCCATGTCGCACCGGAGTTCACTCAGCTGCTCCTCCACGCTGGTGATGAGGGCCTGAATCTGGGCCAGCTGTGCGCAGTACCGTGCCTCTGTATCTCGCAGGTTGGCTTCCAGCCCAGCTTTCTAAAGCAGAATAACAGCAGAATGGGTTGGTGTGCAGATTTTCCCCACAGAGGAGGAGGCTACGAAGAGGCAAGACAGGGAGGGAGGGAGGGGGGAAATGTGTTGGCAGGGAGCTGTGCTGATCTTGGACAGGTCTGTACCATGCTGAGCTGCGACTGGAGCTCGATCTCCAGGCCCTGGACCGTGCGTCTCAGTTCTGTGATCTCTGATTTGCTGGTCTGGATCAGTTCTGTGTGAGAGGCGACTTCACGGTTCAGTTCTTCAGTCTAAAAGAAAAAAAACAACTGTAAAATCACATACATATTCTACAGAAAATGTCAATTATTTTGAGAAAGGGAGGGCCCAACCCATCTGCTGGAGCACTAACAATGAGGTGATGCAGCAGTTTGCTCTTCACTGATATAACTGTACCTGAGTGAAGAACCAGGCCTCGGCATCTTTACGGTTCTTTTCAGCCAGAGCCTCATACTGTTCCCTCATCTCAGCAAGAATTCTGGTCAGGTCGACACCAGGAGCGGCATCCATTTCCACGTTGACTGTTCCACTCAGCTGATTGGAATACTCCTTCATTTCCTGCATGGGCAGAAGGCAGAGGACGCAAAAAAGATTAGGCTGTCAGTTCTCACACACTTGTTGCCATCAGCAATGCCTGCAGTGTTGTGCATTACTTAAGTCATCAAGTACCATAGGTGGAACATGCATAAAAACTTCTATCAAATTTTATCGTTGCACATGCTTTTCTACTCTCTGTATACTCACACATTTGTATGTACCTCATATATATGTTTCTTTTGCTCAGCTTAACTATCCCAGTCACCTGTCATGTGCTTATGAAATGTCAAACTGCAGCTAAGATGTCTGAACAGGTTAGAATCAGACAAATGCTTCTCAGGACACACTTTGGATTCTTCTGATATTACTAAACTGTAATGTTTTACTTTTGTTTTTTTTTATTTGCATTTCCTCCTCCCCACCCAAGAGGCATACATTCCAAAGGAAAGTAATTTCCTCTCTGCACTGTTACAGACTCTCACCTCCTCATGGTTCTTCTTTAGATAAGCCAGCTCCTCCTTCAGTGTTTCAATCTGCATCTCCAGGTCAGCTCTGGACAGGGTCAGCTCGTCCAGGACCCTGCGCAGGCCGTTGATGTCGGACTCCACACTCTGGCGCAGGAACAACTCGTTCTCATACCTGCAGTTTAAAAAAGAAACAATCATTGGGATGTACAGAAGTTTGTATCCTGTAGAGCTATAAAACTATGAAATTTTATATTGGATGTAGGAGGAACAGTGGGGTCTTAAATGAAAACATATATTGAAAAGAAGTATAAAGGCAGTAACGCACTTTTTTTCCCAACATCCTACTGTGACATATGAAAGCACGTGTTGCCATCTGATTGTATTTCACTGTGCAGAACCTAATAATTATTAGCATCAATAGAAATGATTAGCATAAATACAAGAGTTGTCACACAGGACAGTCCATTGCCAGTGTCCTCACAAACTTGGTGTGGACTGCACAGATTGCCCAGTTCTGCCTAGGACACTAGAGAAGAAATGATAAAGCTGCAGGTGCATCACTGCAAGAGGAATCAGTTGCCCAAGTGTCTTTGTCATCTTTTCAGCAGTGTCTGATGCACTGCTGAGGCCATGAGCTGGATAAGCTCCAAATTACTTTTTATCTTTCTTGTCTAAAAGGCAGAACTGAGAGAGAAAACTGCAGCCAAACAGTGATCTGTTCAAGCCAATGTTCCTTCTAAGTGAAAATCCCAGCCTCTTCCTGTTTTCTGCTGTGATTTAGACTAGTTAAAAAATAGGAGCATCACTAAAACATTAAGACATCAATTACAATGTATTATGTCAGCAGATCAGTGATCTGGATACTGTGTTCAGTCAGATTTATACTCCAAACTGATCCTTCATCACATTGATTCAGTTTGCCAGGGTTTTTTTCATCAAAAGTTATCAGGGAAAAAGACCTATCCATAATTTCCAAGTATGTCCTTCAGGACTGAAAAACATTATTTTCTGAAAAAAGGGAATACTAAACTTCAGAAAACTGATGTGAGAGAGACAAGGAGAGAGAAGACAAATGTGCTCCAGGTAAACTTACTTCAGTCTGAAGTCATCTGCAGCCAGCCTGGCATTGTCAATCTCCAAAATTACTCTGGAATTGTCAATAGTAGCTGCAAGAATCTGACAATTAAGAAACAGAAAAAGGTTCCTGTGAATAATAGTGAAATACCATGGTCCTGAGTTCATAGCTGAGATACCCTCATGTCAAACAAATCAGAAACATCCCTACAAAATACATGTGTACAACACCTGATCTTATCTGTAGCCTGGAGAATTATTTTTTCAGCCTTTGAGGCCTACCTATCACATTCTTTACTATTTAAGTTCTGAATAGATATATTGAGAATTCTAAACACATTTTGCCATGTTTTGGTAGCTCAATCACATTTTCAGGATAACACATTTGCTTTTTAAATGGAAGAAAAACTATTCTGCTAGAATGCTGCTAAGCACAATATATTTGTGTTTGAGGATTTCAATGTTTATCTTATTATTTATTTTTTTTTTCTAATTTTAAATAAATTGAATTTGCAGTTCCAAAATTCTAGTGCATCCTTATCACTTCTCTGTCTGTGAGTGTCATACCTTGTCTCGGAGGTCTTCAATTATTTTGTAGTAATTACTGTAGTCCCGGGCGGGGCTGCTGGGAGCTTGCTTCTGATACCAGTCTCGGATTTTAACTTCTAAATCTGAATTTGCCTCTTCTAGAGCTCGTACCTTGTCCAGGTACGCAGCCAGACGGTCGTTCAGGTTCTGCATGGTTATCTTTTCATTGCCAGAGAGCAGGCCATCACCACCACAGACTTCAAAACCTCCACCAAAGCCAGCTCCTCCACCAAAGCCAGCTCCTCCACCAAAGCCACAGGCTGCACCACCACCAAAGCCACTGTAGCCTCCTCCAAAACCACTGCCAAAGCCAGAACACAAGCCACCACCATATCCACCTCCTACAGAGGAGACATACCTAGCTGAAGAGACAGAGACACCCCTGCCACCAGATCCTCCATGGATGCTTGGGGCTCGGTAGGTGCCTCCTGTTCGGACAGAGGAGAGGCGAGTGCTGCTGCTTCCAGCACCCCCTAAGCCACCACCATAGGTAGAAGAAGAGCTGTGCACGAAGGAAGTTGCCATAGCTGCAGCACAAGAAGGTGCTAAGGTCAGTTATTCAGCTTGGTGCAGAAGAGGATAGTATGTGTCTTCAGTGCCCTGGTGCTTCTTTTATATCCTCAAGATAGGGTGTTGGGAGACAAACCCATCCTGCAGCCCTCCCTCCAAAAATTCTCCTCCCTAGAGGTGAGGCCAATTGTGATGACATTCCTCACAAAGAGAGCTGGCTGTACATCTCAGGGGCCAGGGCTTGGGTATTCTTTTTCAATTAAACAAAAGGGATGATTCAGATGAGTGTTTTTTCTTTGGGCTATAGTTCTGAAACTTGGGGTTTACTTCTCTGACATTTAAGAATGGAAAAACAAAGTGGGTTCAACCACACCCACTTACCCATTTACAACCATCACCGTGGTTATTTTAAGAACATAAATCTTTTCTAAAAGTGAAGTGTAAGTAAAATTATCCTTTAATTGAAAAATGTACAGTCATCTATTTATCTCACCACTATTTCTTCTTTTCCATTAACAGTTTTTCCCATTAAAAATTTGGAATTGATTTTGACATGTTCTTCTTCCTGTTCTTTGCTTGGAACTAATATTTAGGTTTTGAAGTCTGAATTTTTAGTACAAAAAGTATATAATTATAGAACTGAATGAGGAGTAACTGACATCCAGCAGTGTACAAGTAAGAGTTCATTTACTAATGCTTGTGAAATAGTCAAGAAAAGTAATACAAGATGGAAATAATTCAATTAAAAGAAATACAGGAAAACTAAGTTCTATCCCGGCACTAACCAGCACACAGTTACTTTTGGAAAATGTAAACAAGGTTGGTTTAACATGAAACAGTTTAGATAGCAATTAATGTGTGTGAAGCCAACATACACTATGGAATGAAGTTATTCTTGAAATTAAGATTTGAGAAGCCCTTAGAAGAGTCATCTTAATGCTTCATTTAAACTATGAGTCAGAAACATCAGTATACATAAAATCTGATGATTTGCTAACTAAGTTCATATTCAATACTGCAAAATTATGGTAAACTAGATTTAAGAGATTTTGAAGGAAGTATTAGCTGCTTATTTACCCTTCTGGGGTGCAGAGTGTGGCAATAGTGCGGAATTCAAAGAAAGAGTTCAGTTCCCTTTGCACAACAAGGTCCCTTTCTTCAGGTGACAGTCACAAGTTGCAGTTGAAGAAATAGGGGCATCATGGTGTGACAATAAATAGGCACTGAGGGGCATGGTGGTTTAGGGGACCTGAGGGCTGAGAGGAGGAAGACAAGCCAGGGGCAAAGGGAAGATGGGAGGAACTTTCTCTGGCCACTAGTTCAGAACCACCAAAATTATTTTAAAATAAAGAAAAATGCCATGTTTGCTAACAATGACAATAATAAGGAGAGTGGTGTTTTATCAGAGCTTTTGACAGTACCTGTCAACAGAAAATGACCTTAGAATTCAGGGTGGGTGATCTCAGATTAACTGATGAGGCTCATACCCGATTGCTGGAATAAATGGAAGGATTTTCTGAAATTTCCAGGTGAGACTTGAACGCAGCCTGAGGGAAAGGCACAGTCTGTGTGCTGGAAAGATGTGTACTTGGGGGACATACCAAAAATCTGGCTGAGATAGGCAGCTAAAGAGCCTGGTCCTGAGAATGTCCACTCACTCTTCAGCTAATTAGCAAAGACGAGGTGTTTCATAGTTGTGGAAACATGTTTCAAACTGAACCTGGACCTTTGCCACAGCAGTTCAGTTTTGCTGTTGGGCAGATTAATGGTTCTGTGGAGTTTGCCAGATCTGTGTATCTCCCATACTTGGTATCGCAGGAAACAAGTTTAGACAAACTCTGCTAAAGATAAAAATGTCTTTAAGGCCCCTCTAATGTAAATATCCTGAGGTGTGTGCTGCTGGGGTCTGTTTAACTCTGAGTGATCCCACAATATGCAAGATCAAATTATATTGAAAAAAAATCCCACAAAATTACTCCTAGAAAACACCATAAACTTTAACAGGAAAATTTGGGGATTTTTCATTGAGTCTTTCACTCAGTCTCTGTAACTTCTTTGGAAGTTTGCTGGTGAAATACACTTTACAGCTTTTTGGGGAAAATAAAAATAAATCAAGGAGTTAATACAGTATATGAAGATACTTCAGAAAACCACAGTCCTGGGGATTCTCTGACCCTTTCCATGTTCTGTAACCATCAATCTTAGATCATTAGACTGTGTCCCCCATGTTCACAAGCTTAAAAATGCAGAGTGCAGCACTTGCAGCCCCAAGGCTTATCCCTGCCTTTATTTCTTACATAGATTTTGTTGTTTTCTTACTGTCTGTGAAGGTTTCTGTATCAGGATGTACATGCATTGCAGCATTTTACAACAGACTACATAAAACAAAGCTTGCTTTGCTGAAAAACTATATCGGTGCAATGTCTGTACCAGGAGAGATTTCTGCAGCTGGAACATGAACTTCAGTCTACAAAATTTTCTCCTTGCAGTCTATACAAGGAAGCTTAAGCCAATCACTTGCTAAAGTAAAAAAACCCACCACCTATTTCAAGTTTGTGGCTCTATTCTCTTCTCACTATCTTAACTCTGAGGTTTCTTATCCAGCTCTTGACAGGCAGTTTTGTCCTTTGCTTATGCTCATGTTGTGCTGGAGGTGCACAAGCTCCTTGGTTTGTCATGTTTCAACAGGACTTCTCTGGAAGACATTCCCTGACATGTCTGTGCCGGGCAAACTCTTTTATTACTTCTGTTCCGGGATTAACGGAGCTGACACACTTGAGCCTCTCCTTTCAAGAGGACAGAGAGTTCAAGAAGCAGATTGTTTATAATCTCAGTCATTGCTGATAAAACCATCACTCAAATCTGACATGTCTTTAGAAAACAAGGTTTTTTTTCCTGAACTGAATGTTAAAATTAAAGTATCTGAGTGATTTTATATTAAAGATTTCACCAGAAATCCTTAATTACCCTACTAATACGGGAAAAAGTCAATTAAATTATACATTAAAATTCAACTTGGGCTATAAAAACAAGAATTCTAACCTTTTCAAAGTTGTTTCAAGTCTCTGAAGTCCCCAATTTCTTTAGCATGGTTTATGAATTTATTCAACTCTTGCTACTTTTGATCTGATAAACACTTTTAATAGTTCACCTTTTAAACTTTTTTTCCCCCCCCCCCCAAACATGCATTTAATTCAGTCTTTGAGAACAAAAGTTTTTGGTCAAAATACACATTTGCAAAGTGTCTGTATAACTTATAAATTGCAGTCTTGGAGCGTGAGAATTTCTTGTCAGATTTCAGATACAACACAAGAAATCTGCACCAGCAGTCTCATACTCTGATTGGTTTGTCACAAGATCTTGTTCTCAGGGAACAGGATTTGTTAAGATTAAAAAACATATCTGAAGTTCTTCATCTGGGAGCTATTCCAGGTCTAACTATTGTAGGGAATACGTCTGATACTAAGCATTTATGAGCAAGTGTGTCAGCACTCAGGATCAGCCTCTGCTGAAGCAGGTCATGCAAAGTGCTTTCCTCTCCTTGCTCTTCCACAGCAGACACCAGAAAACTTGGGGAGCTCCTGGCAAATCAACCACTTGCATCTCCTCTACAATGGTGCTCTTCATGCCACTGCTTCCTGTTCTGCCCTTGTTTCCATCAGAGCATTTTAGTCCTCCTCTTCTTAGTCCCCTCTTCTCTATCTCTCTTTGCTGACTCTTACTTTTTGTGACTCTTTTTCTTTCCTGTCATAGTTTTTCCCTGACCTAGTGAAGCCACTGACTAATGCTATCATGCTCAATTTACAGAG